ACCTCGCCGCGATAGAGAGTCGATCGTTGTGTATGCGGTTGTACTATTGTTTGCCCAGTTTAAAGTACTACTACCTACTTTTTTTTTAAATTTTTGTAGCAGTTGCCCACACCCTTACCCTCCTTGTTTTATTCTACTATCCTTTCACTGCTATGAAAATAATTTTACGTTTTAACTATTGTGTTTAATTATCCTTCTTCTTAGTCGTTATCTTCATTGCTGAAGGTCGTGTCCCTTAATGATATTCGAGACTTTATGGACGATTTTCTTCCATCTGGTTCTATCTTCGGCTTCTCTCAGGGCAGTTGTTATAGGGAGGCCAGTGAGGGTGGTCACTTGATCACTAAATCGGCTAGGTGTTCGACCGCGGAGTATCTTTCCCTCCACTGTACCCACCATAATCAGTCAAGGTTGTCTTTTTTTATAATATCATGTGACGGGGCGAACAAGACGTACGTTAGATGGTAAGCTAAACGCCTGTCCATAACAGTTGCAGTGCCACTCAGAGCTGTAAATAGCAAAGATCTCGTCACTTGTCACTCTGAGACATAAGTTGACAAGTCCCATGTGCCCGTAATTTTGCCAGCACCCTTACCTTCAAAACCGGAACACAGTAATACTTGGCGGCAGAAATAGGTATGGGTGCAGAACTTCCCTGGATGAACTCTTTCACAAGGAGCTCTACAGCTTCACCTGTCTGGTTGTCGGAGAGCAATATAACCAAAATAACAAATGATTTTAACTAGCAGTAAGCAATATGGCCAAAACCCTGTAGTTTTGGTCATATTGCTTACTGCTAGTTAAAATCATTTGGTGTAAAATTTTAAAAGTCATAACAAATGATTTATTTGTAGGTGGTTATGAGAAAAGCACGCTTGATGGCGCATGTCACCTTCGACATTTTCTATGAAAGTTTAAGCCTGAGTGGCAGGCCCTGGTGCGGGTTGTCAATTACACAGCAATAGTTTTGTGAACCTACAAGTTTCACAATGTTTTTCTTCACTGCAAAAGCAAGCGACAGTTTAACATACTGAACAACACAGTCGCGTATCTTCTACTAAGTTATGATTATAGCGCCCTCTCTACTCAACTTTTTGGTTATACAGGAAGAGCACTGTTACCTGTGCAAGCAAGCTTCACAGGAACCTTATCAGTCAGGTTCTGATCCCCGATTAGCTTGTTGACACAGACTTCATCCTTCTCTCAAAAGACTACCACTTTGAACGAGCGCCCTCGCGTGCACGTATATCCAGAAAGATACCCGAGATACGGGCTCGCTCGTACGAGTACATAAAGTGCACTATTTTAACGATTCAGAGCAAGATCCCTCTGTTACAAATCGAACCTAGGATCTCCTAAAACAAAAACATGAGTCCTTCAAACCAGGCCATCATTAATCAATTATCCGTAATCAATTATTATAAGTTTATATCATAATATTTATCCTAATGTAATAATGCTATCGACGATTTATCATAAATTCATCATGCGTTATACACTGCTAGAGTGCGCCGTAAACATTGTAAACTGATAAACATACGCTAACAATTTGTAAATCAGTTAGATTTATTACCCAAGCGGCTTACACTTCTCAGAAATGTTTATGTAACTAACGATACCAGAAAAGGTTGTTAAAAATTGGAAATAATTATTATATCAAATATAATAGTCATATAGTATAATAGACAGTTATATATATATAGCGTCATCACTAAAATTTGATTCAAAGCTGACATTTTACTTCCATCCTCTAAGCATTTTACCAAGTTATTTTTGAGTTATGACGGCGTAAGTATTGATTGACATTTGTGTTGGCAATAAAGGAAATCAGATTGTCTTATTACCACAACATGTCGAGGTTCCAATTCTACTAGCCAGTCTCTACAAAATGTCAATAACGTCTTACCTCGAGCAACTTCAAAATAACGTCTTCTCTTTAAACAGTCGTCTAAAATATAATACAGTACAAATAAAATATTATTTATTGCACGTAATACAGAGAAAAATAAAAAGTGTAGAGTGCAGTAAACGGCCTTATTGCACTTCGAAAACAATAACTTCTAAGCATCTTTGGGATAATAAAATAATGAAACACTAAGAGTGCAACAAAGTCACATCGAGCCAATACTCTGCAGCTGGACATTAAGTTTAAAAAAGAACTAATGTTAAGATTATTGTCAATTTAATTATTCAGGAACAAATCAGCATCGTCTTATGTTAAAATGAAGTATAGAAACGTATGAGTACCTAGATTTCCGGCATAAATGCCCATTCATGCCGGAAATCTCGGTCTTGTTTCTCCCGGTACTTTCGAGACCGCACCGAATCTCGACTTTTCCGAGGACGAGGAAATGCGACGAAACTGGAAGCTCTAGTATACACATATCCATAAGCTACTAGATCAAGTGATTAGATAAAATAAAATTGGGGAGTTATTTCGAGCTAACGAGTCTCTATTAAACAGGTTTCATTTAATGGACTGGAAATGGTGCCACCAGGTGGCACCATGTGCCACAGTCGTTGGAGCGAGGATTACTATCTATTAAGTTTATACGAGTAGATTAGATTCAAAAATATCTTCTAATTAATTCGGATAACTTCGCACTCTTGGTGTAATAAAGCCACATCTGCAAAATGACAACTTTTCAGGAGAGACGAAAAAAACGAAATTAGTTGATAACTTTTTTCTGCTTAAATAGGATACCTTACAAATTTCACATACACATAATTTGTTCCATATAGCTCGTTTCATTTTTATGACTTTCATTTTATTTGTAAGTCAATGCTTTCATGTGATAAAAGTACTTTTGACATATGATTTCATGCGTCTTCATTATACCTACGGTATGACTTAGACAACTATAGTCAACTATACCTATGGACTAGTCTTCGACTATAGTTCTATAAGTATTAATTATTTCTTAGACTTAAAAAGGCTACGTCCTATGTTTTTGAGTCGAAAATTAAGTTTCGTTACTTGAAAAGTTACATTTTTGCTGCAAAAGTTACATTTTCATTTTTTTTTATCAAAAAATATTTAGTATTAACGATTCCATAACTGGACGTTGGCGCAATCATCAATTGCATGGATGGAGCTACAACACTTTAAAAAAGAAGAAGATATAAATTTATACATATACCCAAATCCTAAAAATATATAATAATTAAATTTGTATTAAATTGATATTCAATTATTTTTTGTGAAATTACTCCACTAATTTGTTATAAATATTAATACAAAGATCGAACACTTAGTGTGGCTTGTGCGAACGTGGCTTATAATTGGCATACCGTCTGGCACGATTTGCTAGTACACGTCGGTTCGAATTCGGTCGGATCGAAGAATTTTTTTCTAAATGTAATTTTTTATTTATACAGATTTGTACAATAATCACGCTACAAACCTAGATACTCTCAAGAAAATTCAAGCTTTAGGCAGTAATTGGATTCATTTTGCTTGCGCCATGTCTGAGTAACTATATTGTCTAATTTGGATGCGTTTGTAAACTACTTAGGATTTTTTTTTATAAAAATCAACACCAACAGCAAAACATATACAATAATTCGCATTACAATACGTTACAAATAGTGGTATCAATGTAAATATGCTTGCCTATTATAGGCATACACAACATTTGCCAAGAACCATGTAAACATTAACAATAAATTCCAATTAACGAATCCAAATGGGAGGCTTAAAAGAGCATATGCGACATTTAAATAAAGCAAAAGTTTAATTTTAAAAACATTTGGCGAATCATTGAATTATCTACACTTGGATTTAAAAATTGACAACGTTCTCAAACATTACGAAAATTGCTTTAAAAACAATAGTTAGGTAGTTACATTACAATACGCGAGACTGTCGTTAAGTAACGAAAAGTAACGGAAAATTAAACGAAACCATTTGGCTTCACTGGCCACATCTGCAAAATGACATATTTTTAGAAGAGAGAGAAGATTTAAAGATTAGATTAATTAAGAAATTAGTCGGTAACTTTTTATGCTTAAATAGGAGACTTAAAAAAATTCACACGCATATTAGTTTAATTGTTTCATGTGGTTCGTGTTACTTTTATGACTTTCAAGTCATAAAAGCACTTTTGGCGTATTATCACATGCAGCTTTATTTTATCAATGATTACGACTTGCAAACGTACATTCGTGAAACACGCGACTTGCGATTTATAGGCGATTGCATCGATGCAAACGCACGAACGCATCGATACAAACACTCGATTGCATCTATACAAACGCGCGATTTCATCGATGCAATCGCCTGTAAATCCCAGATGTAGCGATGCAATCGCGCGTTTGTCTCGATTCAGTGGCGCGCTTGCATCGCGTCTGCATCGCTGCTTAAAATCGCGTGCGTGTATGAAGATAGAGGATTAGCGACTGCATCGCTACTTCATCGCGTTTGAATCGTTGCTAAAAGTCGCCAGTGTAACCGCTCTTAGAGAACTATGGTTCTGTAAGTATTAATTGTTTCTTAATACTAATGATTTGCAAAAGACTGTTTGTTCTTCACAAATAAAAAACAGGTGTAAGGGCAGTAGGTCGCCGACGATCGATACGCGGGCATAAAAACTTATTACATTTGCCAAATGGGCAGTCGTTTAGGGTAATATCAGATTTTTTTTGTTAATGAACCCCTGAATATTGCTCATTCAACCTTAATATCTTGAGTTGAAAAGTAACATTATTGAAAAAAAAATACATTTAGGGGGATATTACAGGCCATAGAAGGAAAATATCACGAACAATAGGGTCATATAGCACGGTTTAACCTTATTCAAATATTATCATCGCATACAATTTTGTTCTCTCTCGTAATATTTTGACATGTAGGTGCATTTTACATTTACTATAAAGACGGCGT